TGTTGGAGGCCTCGCCACAAACCTCGATGAGGTCCATGATCTCCGTACTAGACCAGGCGGGCGCCCATCTTTTACAGCCCCAGGCAGGCTCCTGTGAGCCGCCAGCCTGGTCCCGGGAAGAAGCGGAGGGCTGGGTGGCAGCGGGTGGCTGGCTCGTGCCGTGCCAGGTGCAGGGTCTGCTGCATGGGTGCTGGCAGGCTTGCACCTGGCACAGGTACCGTAGCCAGACCGTGTCCCTTTAAGGGTTCCGGGGCCGGGAGGGGAGCAGATGAGTTTCCCTGGTTGTGCCTAGAGGGGCCACCAGGGAAAGCTGGCAAGGGCTAGCCTCCCACTAGTTCGAATTAAGTAGCTACACAGCCCTTAATCTGAACTACTTAATTCGAACTAGGTGTTAGTCCTCGTAGAATGAGGTTTACCTAGTTCGAATTAAGTGCTCTGCTAGTTCGAATTAAGTTCGAACTTGCGGTTTGCCTGTGTAGCGCCTATGAAAGTTAATTGGAACTAACAGCTGTTAGTTCAAATTAACTTTGTAGTGTAGACATACGCTAAGAGTTTTAACATCTTGTTTAAGAGGATGATATTTCCAATTTAGAAAAGTCCTGAGTAGTAAATCACTGTAGTCAATGGTCTCCAATTGCAGCAGGATAAGTTACGCATCTGTGTAATGGTTGGTAGGGTCAATGGCAACTGCGCAGTCTTTTAGAAATTATTGTATGTTATTGGAAATTCTCTCAAATGTTGTGCAAAGTGCATATAAGTGCTTGTGCAGTAGGGATAAGATCATGCTTATTGGTTATCCAAATGTACCTCCTGGTCCGGCTCCAAGGGAGCTGCTTGCTACCCCACACTACTGCCTTTGATTCAGAGGCAACAGCCAGTTTCCTGGGAGCATGGTGGCAGGCAGAAGCCAGTGCACAGCAAAAGCCAGCTTCTAAGTTAGCTCCCAGTGTACACTGATTCCCAGAAAGTTTTAGCAGTTACACAGTTAATCAGTTACACACATTTTAACATCCCTGTTGTGCAGACTACTTAAGGTTTTTTACGTTGCTGCCAGTAACGGTACAAAGCAATTGTTCGGTTTTAAATTTTCCATCTGTAACCCTACTTTGTCACCCAGACGACCTTTGAAAACAGACAAACTCAAGTCAGAATTAAGTATTTGCTGTATACATAGCCCAAATTTTAGCTTTAGACCTCAATTTTAAGGCTGCTTTTTAGTAATTGAACATTGTAAATCAGAACTAGCAGAACTTCAGAGTAACATTTACCATAAGATTTTTAGATAGGGAGAAGGAAACAAACTCTTCAGCAACAATTTTGTGAAGGGAACTGGAATGATACAAAGCTAGACTATGATGTACAAACTTGCTTTAAAGAAAAGTGCCAGTAGGAAAACTGTTTGTGAAAAGAGCCAGTTTTGTACAACAAGACATGGAGTATTCTGCAAAATGCTAGAGACAATGCTGTGTTACAGGGAATTATCTTCCAATATTCTGGGATTGTCCCAAATAAAGGTTTCTAATTTGATGTTAGAAAAGTTATGCATTTCAGATTCCAATCGGTATACTAAGGAAATGGCCTGTTTTGGTAAAATTAAAACAAAAATATATACCTGTTCAGTATTCCTGTGACTGGTACACAGAAATGTGTTTTTTCACTACAATTTTAATAGAATTTTATTTGTTCTAGAAATGTTTGGTGTTACTTGTAACTAATACATGGAACATTTTGTAGACAAAAATTCTTGTTGGCAAATTTTCTCATAATAAGAATTGGGGCTCCAGATTTTTAAAAAGAGGCTTCAAAATTTTCAGAGTAGGGAGAGCTTATTTCTTTTAGAGGTTGCTTCATTTTGGGCTTTAAGGTGGGTTGGTCCATGGCCATGCAGGGTCCACACGGCTTAGAATGAGATGGTATCTGGTACTCAGCTTCCTGGATTCATTAGTTACTAATCAGCCCGCTAGGATGAGTAGTGTATACCACCACCTCCTCCCGCCATGGCCTTTGCATGGTGCATGAGCAGAGCTTATTGGTGCACTAGTGTTCACTCATCCTCGGAAATTGAGAGTGCTGAAGAAGCCAAGGAAGAGCTAAATTACTGGGATTTGGGGTGGAGTTCCCTCTTCCCCTGCACAGAGCAACTGGGTCTGGGTGAAATCAACCCTAGCAACATCTCTTGGTTGCAGGAAGCTCTGCACCTGCCTGTCTGCATCATCCCTGTCCCTCTCGTACCTACCCTCACAGATGAGGGAGGTGGCTATGTGTAGAGGGTGTCAGGCTCGGTGGGGTAAAAGTCCTGGGGGAAGGACATGCAGGGGTTCCAGATGTACAGGGTTGGGCAGACAGGATGGAACAGCTATGAACAGTGGCCCCTTCCTGCATTTCCAGGCCTTTTGGTCTTCATCCATGGCAGGTGTGGTGCATGACATGGGAAGCTGCTCTTCCATCCACCCAATCACCACCTCCTCCTCCTTCCACATGGAAACCTCCCACTGAGCCACCCTACTAAGTAGAGATATTAGTGTATAGTCGAGTAAATAATTAACCAATAGCCTAGGCTTCTTACTGAATCCTATTGACCACACACACACACACACACACACTATTTGCTTCTGAGGAATACGAATGAGAAAGTGTTTAATAGGGAGTGATGAGGGGGAGCCAGTGCCGGTAAGGAGCTGGCTTCAAGCAGGTGCTCCATGGACACTAGATCCACCCTCCACCCCATCTCCACGCTGCTACCTCTGATAGAGAGGCAGCAATGCAGAGTGTGAGGGGGGCAGGTGGGAGCTAATATGCACCAGGAGCCATCTTTCAATCCAGCTCCCACAGACCTGCCTGCTCCCTCCCCTTGCTTCCTCCTACAGAAGCAGGAAGGGGGGGACAGGCATGAGCTGGTTTCCCACAGCACCAGCTCTGTGCTGCCACCTCCCCCTGCCCCATGCTGCTGCCTCCATCAGCATCCCGCAGGGCAGCAGGCAGGCGGTTTTTAAGCTGTCCCCCCACTCGGATCAGCTCCTGCCTGCCACCCCACTCGGCTCTGATAGGCAGCAGTGCGTGATGGAAGGGGGCTCCCTGGGAGCTGAGCCAGAGAACACTGGCTGGGGTACCCCCCCCCCGGGTTTATGCAGTTACATGACTATTCCCTTACATAATATCTAATATCCCTACTGCTAAGCCTCACCCCTTGCATCAGAGGCCTCTGGCACCCGGATCTCCCTACAACCACCCAAACCCTTACACATTTCTTCACCCTTGAGCATCACACTCTGCATTGGGAACCCCTAACGACTGCCCCCACCGCACTGAGCCCCAATTAGCTGCACTTTGACACCCTTCAAGCCCTACTCTCCTAGCACCCAAAATGCTTGCTGAGCCCCCCCACTTCCAACCTTCTGGTCCCTCCAAGATGAGTCTTATCCACCTTCACCTGGACTCCCTTACATAATCTCATTCCCTGTGCATCCTGATCCACCCCAAACCCACCACTGAGCTGTCCACATTCAGATGGTGCCTCATAGAGCCCTGGTACTTTTGAGAGAATTGTGCACCAAAATGAAAAATTGTGCCAAAATATTAAAATTCTGCAGAATCCTGTGTATTTTATTTGTCAAATTAACACAATATGATCACCATTTTCAATTATTTTGGTAATTTATTTGAAAATACTTGTAAGCAAGTAATTGAAAATAATGTGGTTATATTATGTTGACAAACTGCAGAATTTTAAAATATTGTGCATAGAATTTTTATTTTGGCACAGAATTCCTTCAGGAGTACTATTTAGTAAATGCTACTTCTTAATTCACTACAAATATTGTGAGCATTTGTTGAACAATATGTAACATGCTAAATTGTATTTTTCATAGACCTTGAATCTTTTATTAATAAACTAATTTTCAATTCTTCTGTCTCCTGAATAGTGGTGAAACCTCCTCCTTCAGAAGTGTGTTCTGCAGTAAAAAGGATACCATTTACTCCAGAATATTTCTTTTTCCAGCACCAGTTTTCTGTCTACTGTGAGTATGGCAGTCACACTAAGAAGAACTGTGTTGTCTAGTACTACGTGGATGTATTTAGCAGCATTCAGTAGGCAGGCCCCAGTACAGAGTAAGCAATACTGCTGCTTTATAAAAATCCTATGGCAAGAAATTTTTTCGTTAAAAAATGTAACTCTTTGAAACAAATGAACAAGGAACAGTAATGTGCAGTGTTGTCTGTTTTTGCAATAAATCAGATTGGCTTATGGGGTGTGTTAGTTGAAGGTAGCAATGCGTTTAAGAAAAAGAGCTGGGAGTCTGGAGTTGTAGGTACTAGCCAAAAAAAAAATCTTACTTTTAGTATCAATGAGCAGTGTCACTTCTAAAATTTGGCAGCAATAGTTGGCAGAAAAACATTTTATCAATTGTGCTGATGCTAGGTGTTCTTTTCTAAAACTCATTATTGTTTCCAGTGAATATAATTCAGACCTTGAAGTATAGTGGTGGTGATCTCTCACCACACTGAAGTGGTAAGTGTGAATGGACACCAGGCAGTGACAATAAAAGTAGAGTTTCGCCAGTAAAACTTTCTGGATGAGGCCTAACTTTAGGTTTCTATGCCTGTTGTCTTTGTGAAATATGTGGGAAGTAAGACATTGTGTTGTATCTGCCACAAGCAATGGAGTATTAATATTTAATCAAATTCATACTTGCAGACAGTAAAGTAATGAACATTAGAAGAACTGTACCTATACTAGTTATTTTTGTGATCACTTTTGGATATCAGAAATTAGTTCAGAGTATTTTGAAAGTGAAACCACAGTCTAGAGGCGGGTCTTTCAGGAAAAAAAAATCCTTTCTCGAAAGATCCCATACTCATTTTTTCAGGAATATGGGATCTTTTGAAAAAGGGTTTTTTCCCTCAAAAGAATTGCGTATAGACTGCGGTTTTACTTTTGAAATGCCCTTTTTTGAAACCGCCATCTGACACGAATATGCAAATGAAGCACGGATATTTAAATCTGTGCTTCATTTGCACTTTCGATCAGGCTCATTTACATCCCTCTTTTGAAAGAGGGATGTAGCCTAGGTGAGCCCAATGATAGTGCTGCTGCCCAAGACTTTGGCTGAGATCTCGGGACTCATGTCAGCTGGCAAACAAATATGTGGGGACAGTCTCTTCTCCAAAGAGCTGACAGTTTAAGCATCACAGTCTTGTAAACACACCATGAGTAATTTTCCTCCTTAGTGAGTAGATCCATTGCAGGAGAATCTGGGCCAAAGGAAACAAAATAGATGGAGGGATTCAATATACGTGCAGAGTAGTCAGCGATGCTAAGCGTGTGGGTTAGTGGTAGTGGCCTGGAACTTGGGAGATTCACCCCTGGGAACAATTTGGAAATGGCAACTGTGAGCTGTTGCAACCCTGTGACCCCAGATGGTTGCCCCACTGTCACTGAGGAAGACAAGTGGGAGAAGATAATTAGGTAAGGAGAGGGGAAAGTAAAGCCTAAATAACTGTTCTGAAATCCAAAGGATGTTAAAGGGAGGGGAGTACAGGAGGCCTCCGCTTTGCGACAGCTCAATTTATGACCCCCGCACTTAACAACCTTTTCCATAAGTGCAGAAGGGGCCTCGGCCCCACATTTACGATGGCATACAACGTCTGTCATAAATGTAGGCTTGAGTTACGGCACCCCCGACTTGCAACGCTATCCCCGGAGCCAATCATGTTGCAAGTCGGGGCCAGCCTGTACAGATAATACAGAACATTTTGGTAGCACATAAATGAATGAAAAGTACATGGCAGTGTCAACTGCAGCAATGACTCGACTCATAGCCTTTCAAAAAAGAAAAAATGCAGGCTAATTCTGAGTTTCTCTTTTAAACGAATATGTTCTCTACTGATGTTTTTGCAGCCCATACCTCGACCAGATCCAGTAGATAACTCTCGACCAGATCCAGTGGATAATAAAGAAGTGCTGAAATCAAGATTAGAAGTGAAAGAGCTCAAGAATAGCACGGGATCTACATATGAGGAGCTCAGCAAAATGTTTTATACAACAAAACATCGCTGGTACCCTGTGGGACAGTAAGTGTCTTTTCTAAAATACTTGTGCTTTTGGGATTGAAGGAAAGGAGGAATAAACAACGTGGGCCAAATTCACTCCTACTGTAACTCATGAGGTATGACATAAGGTTTGCATGAGATCAGGCTACTCAGGTTACATAACACTCAAAGTTCACAAATTTCATTGCACCACAACACTTTTTTCTCACAACAATTTACTACACAACCCCAGAAAGGGGGACCCAAGCCTGTACCCACCTACTTGACCCCACTGTCCCAGGTCAGTGGGGCCACAGCCTGAACCTCACCGCCTCAGGGAGGAGGCAGAGTCAAAGCCCAAAGGGTTTCAGTCACAAGTGTGTAGCTTGTAATCTGAGACCCATCATCCAGGGTTGAAGCTGTTGGGTTTAGCTTTGACCCCAAGTGCTGTGGTTTGGGCATGGGCTTTGGCAGTAGGCCCCAGCAAGTCTAATCCTTGTGACCTAATTAAAGTGGGATTGCAACCTACTTTGTGGTCCTGACCCACCATCTGAGAACCTTTTCTGTAGGGGTAAATTCGTTAAAGAATTTTCATTGGAGGTACTGTCTTATGACACTTGCCTTGGTGAGATTCTATAGTAATGTCAGTCTATTATGTAAAGCATTAGACCAAGAGCATTAGTTGCTGCCTGATATCTCTGTTGAAGATAAGATCTGCTCTGAGCAGGGTTAAATGACATCGTGCTTACCAGTGGCAGTCCACACTAGAACTTCTAACATTCCGAACAACAGTAGAGCTACACTAACATCAGCAGCGGTGATAAGCTTGGTAATAAATCCATAGTATAGACAAGACTTCAATTGTTGACCTCAGATCTCCCATTTTGGTCAAATTACTTTTTCTTCAGAGAGCTATTCTTTGGAAAATAAGTCTCAGCATACTCTCCCCTTTTGAATATTTAACTTCTCCAATAACTTTCTAGAAACCTTCTAGTAGTAGTTGCTCTTAGAGTCTTAAGGGAAGTATTCAAAAAGCATGATTGTAACTGAAGTATGTACAAAATTCAGATGTGAATTTTCAAATTGGTTCTATAGTGTGTTTGTTCTTGCTGCAGTAGAAGGGGCAGTGTTATTTATGTAGATAACATGTTGTCAATAGGAGACAGGTGTGTTGAGTAGCTCTTATGTATCTTTTTATACGGCTATTGATATGTAGTCTGTTACTGGCTAAAATCAAATCCTGAAAGGAAAATCCAAGCAGCTTTACCAAACTGTTATCACTGCAATTCTTTTTTCTTCTACGTACCACAGAAGACGCAAGAAGGTCAATCCTCCTAAAAAGAGATGATTACAATAATTTCTTGTTTATGTTCTTTGTCATTATCCACTACTGGAAATAAACCACAACAGCAAATATATATGTATAAAAATAAAGCCTGACTCTGAAATTCTGTAACAGAGCTGAATGCCTCAGGCTTCTTAGAAGATTGAAATTAAATAAGTAAGACACAGATGACCTTTAAGATTGAGATGAAAGAATATTTGGCTCCTACAGCTGTTGATGATTGCAAGTACTGTAATGTTATTGCCTCCAGGTACCACATTACAAGTGTTTAAAATTGTCATATCTTACTGAAACTGGCTAGCTCTAGTTACAGCTTAGATTCAAGGTATAATTAACTCATATTTTTACAGACTGCCTGGAGCACCCAAATGTATCTATTTAAAAAGCTAACATTCAGTAAATTGTGTTAGATGTATGTGACTTTTTTTGTTGTTGTAGCTGTGTAGAGGAAGGAATGTATGTTATGGCAGGGTAGTCAGTGAATGGCCAGGCCTTTCCTCCCTGTCAGGGGAAAGCTTAGCCCTAAGAAGCACTTTTTTTATAGTCTTTCTCAAGTTCAGGAGATTGTGATATTTAGATCCTCTGTGTCCTAATCGAAGGACACTACAGGCCAGTCAACTTAACTGGACAGATAATGGAGCAAATAATTAAGGAATCCATGGCTGCGTCTAGATTGACATGATTTTCCGGAAATGCTTTTAACGGAAAAGTTTTGCTTTGAGTCTTGTGCTGGTCTATAAGACACTTGCTAATATTATGCATGTATGTGTATCTGCCACTTCTTAAAATGCTTCCTTTCAAACCCTACTCCGGTCTGGAGCCATAGAGAAAGTTTAAAAAGTTCCGCAAAAAGACTAAGGCCAAAAAGTGCTTTTGTGGAAAAGCGTCCGTGCCAATCTAGACTCTCTGTTCCGAAAATGCTTTTAAGTTTAGTATACTACCTCCTTTAGCTTACAGTGGTCTTCATTTTTTTTTAAATGTCTGACTTAAAACCCTTTGTGCTTGCTACCCTATGACTGGAAAAGCTTGATTTCAGTCTAATACCAAAGAAAGCATGTTTCCAGATTCATGTAAAACTTAAGAGGGTTGAGTTCTTTTTCTCACAGTGGAAGGAAGATTGTTTCATCTTAATAAACCATCCTGTCATCCACTTACCTGAGACTCACACTTGAGAATCACAATAATGCATGAGAGGAGACTTTCATTTGTCAAGAGGCCTTCCCTTTCCCAGGTAAGAATGAGTCTGTAGTGTAGAATAGTGATAGAGATGTATCCGTGTTAGTCTGGTGTAGCTGAAACAAAATACAGGACTATGTAGCACTTTAAAGACTAACAAGATGGTTTATTAGATGATGAGCTTTCGTGGGCCAGACCCACTTCCTCAGATCAAATAATAACAGTGATAACTACAAACTCTATGTACTACCCAAAACAACTACAACACTAAGCTTATACAACAAGAAAAAATCAAATCATACATACCAATTCTGGCCCATGAAAGCTCATCACCTAATAAACCATCTTGTTAGTCTTTAAAGTGCTACATAGTCCTGTATTTTGTTTCTGTAGTGTAGATTACTAATAGAACCAGCAGAGGGCAGTCTTGTACAAGAGCTCATTTAGACTAGTCTCAAAGCAGATCTACAATTTAGAAAAAACTCAAAAAA